ATAATATTTCTTTTAGTGTAAAATCTGGTATACATTTAGTTAGAGATGATCTTATGGGCCGGTTAAGATAAAACATTTAATATATAGTTTTATTGGGTTCGGATTATGAGCTGCATTATTGGGTTAGTATTGGGCCGAATTATTTTTTAAAAAATGAAAGAAATAAAGCTTGGTCCATATTTTTATTATATTAAGTAGTATGTTTCTTTATTAAATATTATAAAATAACATTTATATTGATTTATATATATATTTTGTAATTTCTAAAACACACACACACACATATAATATAATTTCTATTTATTCGTTAAGTTTTTCTGATTGAAAAATAATATTCATATATTATTATGTAATGGATGCTCAATGATTATTATTGTGAAATAAAATAATATTTACATTATAATTAAATTTTATATTAAAATATTTAAAGTTATATTACAAAGTCTTAATTTATGTAAAGAAAAACAAATTATTTTAGTGAAGAAATAAAACTTGGTGCATAATTTTGTGTAATGGGTTAAAGATAGAAAAAAGAATATACTTAAGGAGGTGTATTCAATCATGACTTTCGTAGAGTTTTAAAGACTTTTATGAACTTTAAAAGTTTGGATGTATTCAATTCAAACTTTTAGAGAGTCTTTAAAAGTCAGGCGGTATTCAATCAAGGTTTTTAAAGAGTCTTTAAAAGTCGTGTAGTATTCGATTAAGACTTTTAAGGAGTCTTTAAAAGTCACGTGGTATTTAGTTATGAACTTTTGTAGATTTTTTAATTTTAAGACTTTTGTAGACTTTTCATTCTCAAATATAAATAGTTGAAATATAACCATGATTTCAAAATTTTCTTTCTAACAACTTTGAATATTTTCTCTCTATATTTAAACTCTATTTTTTCTCCCTATTTAAACTTTATAAACCTATCTAAATTCAATAAAATTATTTTTTCTTCATTATCCTATATTTTTCTCATACCAAAACTCTACCAATTTTTCTCTCTCTCCTACAATTTACCATCTTCATCTAAAAATTTGAAATAATATTATTTTTACTTCATTATTGCTTGTTTATATTGATTTTTATTTTTTCTATGAATTTTTTATCCCTAAATTTCTCTAATTCTCCCTAAATACATGAACAAAGCAATTTTTTTATTGTAAACTTTTAGTATATGTTTCATAATATTCATATAAATACTTATATATTTTGATTTTTATTCTTTTTATGTTTATATATATATATATATATATATATATATATATATATATATATATATATATAACAACAGGTTACTACGAATAGAAACTACTGTTCGCAACAACAATTTGGGATTGCAAACAGTAGCACCTTGTTGTTGTTCGCAGTCTCAAATTGCTATTGTAAATAATATTTCTTTGCGTGATACCTAGCAATAAAAGTATATATATATATATATATATATATATATATATATATATATATATATATATATATATATATATATATATATATTACTTATTAATATTAGATTTTTATTTTTTTTATTTCATGCAACTTGTAATTATATTTTTAAATACTTTATTTGATCAATTCTTTTATTATAAATTTTATTGTTCAATATTGTTATGAATTTCTAATGAAATAGTTTTTTTGTTGATGTTTCATCATAATATGTATAAAAATAATAATGTTGAGAATGCTGATGTGGGTGAAAAATTATATAATAAGAATGTTATGATATATTATAAATGTTTTGTAAGAAAATTATAAATGATAAGAATCAAAATCTTTGAAAGTTTGTAATGATGTATTCAATTTAGAATTTCAATGACTTTTGTATACTTTTTAAAATAAAAAGTTGATAAAAGTTTATGAATGTTTTTTTATATAGACTTTTATAGAGTCTTATAAAGTTTTAAAAAATTTTGAACGACTCTATGAAAGTCAATCAAAGTTTATTAAAATCTATCATTTTAAAAGTCTTTAAAACTCTACAAAAGTCATGAATGAATACACCCCCCTTAGAATACTTCTTTTGGTGTAAAATCTATTGCAGAATTTGGTGCAAACGGTTAAAGATGGTCTTGCGGTTAGGAGAAAACATTTTATTAATGGTTTTATTTTGGTCAGGTTATGGGCTACATTAATGGGTTAGTTATGGGCCGGATTATTTAGAAAATAAATATGAAAGAAATAAAGCTTGGGCCAAGAAATTATTATATTAATTATTAAGTAGTATATTTGATAATTAAATATTATAAAATAACATTGATGTAATGGGTTAGAGATGAAAAACGCAAATTATGCCCTGGAAACGTGTTCACCATGAATGGTGAACACGGGTCCAAACGGTGTCGTTTTTACGGAAATTTTATTTTTTAGTTAATGTGCTGTTAACGGCACGCGTTTGTTCAGACTATGAATTTTCTTTTATGAGATTATGAATGTACTGTAAATTCATAATCGCATAAAAGAAAAAATATTTATTAAATTATGAATTTTCTTTTATGAGATTATGAATTTACAGTTATGTAATTATGAATTTTCTGTAAATTCATAATCTCATAACAGAAAATTCATAATTTCATAACAGAAAATTCATAATCTCATAAAAGAAAATTCATAATTTCATAACTGCACATTCATAAATCCATGCCTGCACATTCATAATTTATGAATGTTGAAGAAATTTGCGCGAAGAGGAAGTGAAACCGCAAAATGTGAAAATGAAGAAGAAAAGTCGCGCGGTTAATTAAGAAAAAAAAAAAAAGATAACGGTGCACCGTTATCGTTGGGACCGTGTTTACCATGAATGGTGAACACGGTTCCATGGCATAACGATTGGATGAAAACTTTAGTGTAAGAATATACAGAGAATATTCATTTGTTGAAAAATCTGGTACAAATGGTCTTTGGGTTAGGAGAAAAATTTAGTGTAAGAATATATAGAGAATATTCGTTAAGTTTTTCTAAATTGAAAAATAATATGAATTAAATTCATATATTTTTATACTGTATTTAGCATTATTGTATAAACTTTCTTGAATTAAATTCATATAATTCTATACTATATTTATCATTTTTTCTATATCATACGTGGATTTGTTTTTGGGAAAACATATATTTAATCAGTCGAATGTACGTAGCACTTTCAATAATAAGTAAACTAAAGAGATTAAATATTTTGATTTGTGGAGATAATGGACAATATGTGAGTACGACTAAAAATATCGTATACAAAGAAGTTCTTAATAATGTGTATACAATTGGTTAAATACCATTTTTTCTTCATTTTTTTTAATCATCATCATCATCATCATCATCATCATCATCATCATCATCATCATCATCATCATCATCATCATCATCATCATCATCATCATCATCATCATCATCATCATCATCATCATCATCATCATCATCATCATCATCATCATCATCATCATCATCATCATTCATCATCATCATCATCATCATCATCATCATCATCATCATCATCATCATCATCATCATCATCATCATCATCATCATCATCATCATCATCATCATCATCATCATCATCATCATCATCATCATCATCATCATCATCATCATCATCATCATCATCATCATCATCATCATCATCATCATCATCATCATCATCATCATCATCATCATCATCATCATCATCATCATCATCATCATCATCATCATCATCATCAATCATCATCATCATCATCATCATCATCATCATCATCATCATCATCATCATCATCATCATCATCATCATCATCCATCATCATCATCATCATCATCATCATCATCATCATCATCATCATCATCATCATCATCATCATCATCATCATCATCATCATCATCATCATCATCATCATCATCATCAATCATCATCATCATCATCATCATCATCATCATCATCATCATCATCATCATCATCATCATCATCATCATCATCATCATCATCATCATCATCATCATCATCATCATCATCATCATCATCATCATCATCATCATCATCATCATCATCATCATCATCATCATCATCATCATCATCCATCATCATCATCATCATTCATCATCATCATCATCATTCATCATCATCATCATCATCATCATCATCATCATCATCATCATCATCCATCATCATCATCATCATCATCCATCATCATCATCATCATCATCATCATCATCATCATCATCCATCATCATCATCATCATCATCATCATCATCATCATCATCATCATCATCATCATCCATGGCCGTGCATACAAATACTAGTTATAAGAATATAGTGTTGTTAGATAAGTGGCAGTTTCTCGAATCACGATGACTGCATTTGTGACTTATATATGAGTTATAGACGGCAAATAATTATAATCTACCCAGTTCACACAGAGCTGCGTGGATGTAAGTAAATTTTTAATATATATATATATATATATATATATATATATATATATATATATATATATATATATATATATATATATATATATATATATATATATATATATATATATATATAGAATAGCGCTCATATGCGGCGGGGTCTTACGGTACGGCGGTGCGGTCAAATTCCAGAATACACCAACAGTGTTAACAATATGCACCAACAGTGTAATAAAAACACACCCCAATGAAATGTAATAAAACATCACAAAATACACCACAGACTCAAAAAAACACACCATATAACTCACCACCCCCAATGGTGTATTTCCGAACAGTGTATGGTGTTTTTACTCACACCTAATGGTGTGTGTTTGGTGATGCAGTGCTCTGTTTACTCTGTTTTGTGTGGTGTATGTCCTAACGTTGATGGTGCATATTTGGTGAACTATTGGTGTTGCCGCACCGTAAGAAATAACCGCACCGTAAGACACTGCCGCACCTGAACCCGCCTATATATATATATATATATATATATATATATATATATATATATATATATATATATATATATATATATATATATTAATCTTGATTGAGTTGTAATTATGACTGGATTGTGTATACGGACTGGGGCCACCATATATTTTGGGCTTTACTCTTATAGGCCCTAATACCATATCCAACGTCTAGCCACTCACTTTCTTATGGCTCATGAAGTGATGGCACAAAAAAGTAGAAAACAAATATCAAGTCTATGTCTGCTGAACGCCTAAATAGCCCGTGGTGAGACCCCTCCCCACTCCCCCCCTGAGTCTAAGTTGAGTATAAAGGGTGTGATTTACATTAGTTGTCTCGTTAAAAACTTTAGACTAAGAAAAATTCAGTGGAAAAAACTTAGCCAAGGGAAAAAGAGTACAACAATGAGTGCAATCATCAGGACTATAAAGGGTCTGCTGGATCAACCATATTACTCTGTTTGGCTAAATCTCAAGTGAATTCTCTTATCAAGTATCGAGCGGGTACTACACTATATATCATCCAATTTTCATGGAGTACAAAGAATGTAAGAACTTATCAATATGAAGGTCGAACAACCAAGGATTCATGACCAAGTGAAAACTTTTCTATAACCAACAAATCATCGCAAGAATTTGAAATAGCTGAAATTTTTGCTCATCCAAGATTCAAAAGATAGATGAAACTCCGCCCAGTTAGGGGTTTGATTTTGAACAATTTGGTGACAAATAATCCAGGGAGATACATAATGGCCCACGCTCCTAGATCAGGGAAGACTTTTTATGATAATAAGTTCCTTATAAAGTTTCATGGCTTTGTATTTATTTGCTAAGCCTTTGGTGGAGCTAATTTTTGATCTTCACTGAGTACTTGGCAAGCTTTTGTATAAATTACATGGCTTGCCCATGAATATCACAACAGACATGGAAAAGGTCTTCACCAGCAAGTTTAGGCAAGTGTTGTTTAGAAACGTGCAGGTGAAACTAAATCTCTTAACTGCTTATCACCCTCAGATAGATGGACAAACTGAGAGAGTAAACAAGTGCTTGGAAGGATACCTAAGATGTATGGTTGTTCAGAAACTCAAGAGTTGGGTTACAATTGACAGAGTGGTACATGGTACAACACTAACTACCATTCTTCTTTCAAATGTACACCATTCCAGGCACTGTATGGTTATCCTCCCCCTATAAAGGCTTTTAATTTAAACCCAAGAAATGGTGATTTTAGTCGGCTGAATGTTGTGTTAATAGCCCTAAATGAAAACTTGAAGCAAGCTCAGAATAGAATGAAGTTGCAGGCTGACAAGGGGAGAAGTGAAAGGTCCCTGGAAGTAGGAGATTGGGTTTATCTCAAAATTCAACCCTATAAACAGGTGTCCTTGGATGTGAGGAGTAATATGAAATTATCTTCTAAGTACTATGGGCCTTATAAGGTGATTGAAAAAATTGGGGAATGAAGTTGCCTACAAGCTGTTGTTACCCCAGGGTCATTACTCCATCCAGTGTTTCATGTTTCCTATCTTAAAAAGAGGATTGGAGATGGAGTGGTGGCTCAACTTGACCCTCCAATTGTAACACCCCCCGAATTTCAACAACTTTTAAAACCAATTAAAGCTTATGAAAGAGGTAAAGTCTAATCATTAAGATTAAGCAAAGCGGAAGCTAACTACACAAATTCGGGAGATGTTATGCCACACCTACACAACATTAGGTGCACAGGCAAACACTAATTACTAAGCAGTCTAACTGATCAACTACTTAGGCTCACAGGCCTCAACAACTATTAAAGGAAGAGATTTAATCTATCTACAGGCCACTAGCGCGCTCTCCAAAGCTACTCAACCTGTAAAAGATAAGGGATAACACCCGGTCAGCGAATATTGCTGGCAACCCATCAACACGCGTTAAGTATAATAATATACATAGATATAAACAAAAGCGTTTGAAATTGGGAATACAGTATATATCATTTTAAAGCCGGGAGAAGAAACATCAATAGACTCATCAATCACTCACAACAAAGGTCAAAGACCAACATACTCAATCAAGACAATAGAACCACAAGCAACAAGCTCAACAACAAGGTACAACATGCAACACACAACGAAGGATTCACAATAGACATGCTCTTAAGCAATGGAAGGCCAGATTCACACCATAACGAGTTCCAAGTCCACGTAGGACACTATCACACCAAGTCATATACCGTGGAGTCAGCACCACGGCCCGATTTATAGTGGATCAGTGTGGAGGGCTCCAAATCATCAACAAACATGTATCACGTGGTCATCGCAACGACACGGATCACATGCATAGTGTTGTCGCAATGACAAAGACCGCAGCCCAATGGAAACAGAGCTAGCAACTTTAAGTGTATACACCCCCTATTGAGATTCCAAGTTCAACGGGTTAGCTACCATCTCTAGCAACGGGGATAAGTTTCCCATGTTGCCCACAAGTCACAAGTAACCAAACGGCCATCCGGAGCTTCACTACCGGTCCATTCACACATAAGTCCCCACACTGTCCACTTTACCAGCTCAATCATCTCATCACATCAATCCATCATCTCATCAAGAGTCAATACACATGGAATCTAGAGATACAACAACACCTAGATTCTACACACAGTGTGTACAACAAAGGATAAGCTCAACAATAGCTTAATCAAGAAACAATCATACACACGGGATCACATCAAGGGATTCAATCAAGGGGTTTTAATGAAGGACATGAAACGATACTTAACAACAACAATGGACCTCAATCCAATATCAACATGATTGGCAACACGAGTTGCCAATCCTCAATAGAAAGAGACAAACAACACATACTAGCATCAATGACACCAAGACTAGCATGCATATCAAACGGGTAAACCAAAATAGTTTCAATGAACCACAAAGACTCAACATCAATCCAACGAATCACAAGGTTGGATCATAAGCACGATTCAAGACACCAAATTCTAACATGGATTCCTAACTCATCGTTCTAGACATACGAAACATCAAGAAGACTCACAAAAGCTCAATAATTCAACAACGGGAGGTCAAAACATCAAATACCAAGAAGAAGGGATCACGGGGAACAAATCCCCGCAATCCCCAAACATGTTCCCCGAGGGTGGGGCCACGGGTGGACCTCCACCCGCGGGTACACCCTGCACCCAAAAATTAGCATTTGCGATTTTGCACTTTTAAGGCCAAGTTCAAGTCCAAACGACCCCAAATCTTTCACACAAAAAAGATATGACTTGAACCTATGAATAACTCATAAAATAACATCCAAGAACCCTAAAATACAAGCTCTAAACATGCATTATCACAAGATCATGCATCAATCACTCAAACACATCAAGAATATCACATAGAAGCCAATAATCATTATTATCAAGTGAAAATAGGTTTTGTGTAACATGGGTTACCTCTTGTAGACCAAGAACACCTTCTTCAACCTCAAAGCAAGACCAAAGCTCCTCTAGATCAACCTAGCACTTCACCCACCACTAGATCTTCTACGAACTCCCAAAACCCACAAGGTAGAAGAAATATTTAGAGAAAAGATGGAGGAATCTTGTAAGGAAAAGGTAGGGAAGGATAGATCTTACCATTCCTAGACTTGTAGTGTTGGAAAGTTGGAATCTTGGCTTGGGATTTCTTGAAGAACTTGTGAAGATCAACTCTAGGATTTCCTAGAGAGAAGGAGGAGTAGGGAGCAAGAAAGAGATGTAGAGAGAAGGGAAATCCTGAAAAATGATTTGGATTTCCTTGGTTAGGGTAGGGTTTTAATGCTAGCATTGTGTGAAATGACCAAAGGGCCCCTTCCTCCCAAAACTTGTTAAGAGAAAGACAAAGTCTAAGGTACAAGGTCTAAAACCCAAGGTACAACTCATTGACCAAATTAGGAGGATAAGGAATTTGGTCAACTAGGTCCTTCAACTAATTTCAAAGGGAAATTAGGATAGGAATTGTAAAGCTACAAGGAATTAATTAAGGAATTAATTCGGGTTTTATGGAATGAATTTCCGGGGTGTCACACCAATTGTGGGACAAGAGGGGCGGATTCTCATGGAGCCTTTGGCAGCGTTGGGTAAGAGGTTAGTTAAAAGGAATAATCAAGCCGTAACTCAGATCCTAGTCTGATGGACTAACTTACCTACGGAGGAAGTTAATTGGGAAGATTATTATCACATTTGAAGCCAATTCCCTTCATTTGATCATTGGGGACAAGGACCTTTTGCAGAAGGGGGTGATGTAACGGTCCTTGAAGGGAGTATAAATGGAGGTGAAGGAATAAGGAAGGGGAGGAAGGCCAAGGAAAGGGAGTTGATGGCTGAGAATGAAGTGCATGATGAACATATGAAGGAAACAACGCCGTTTGAAGCAGCAGTTAGGAGCCGTTAATGAAGGAGTCCAATAGTGTCGTTTAAAGCTGGCAGTTGAATACGATTGAACCTCCTCATCAGATGATGTCATTTTACAGCTTGTACTCAGTACCTTCTTCTGTTGCAATTGAGCTGAGTTGTTAGATGCAGTTAGGGTGTAAAGGGGATGTTAAGCTCTATATTTAATCCTATTTGAATGTATTGAAGGTTTTTATGTTGAGTATTGAAATAAATTTCCTTCTTCTCTATTCTCCTTCTTTTAAACTCTAATATTCTCTCTTCTTTGCTATTTCCCCTAATTTTCCCTAAGTGTGTTACAATTTCTCCCTCAACATAAATAGTAAACGACTAACACAATCACATATATGAAATTAAAACTGTCAATAATCCAGAGCCAATAACAACCAAATTATCCCGTATAAAACCCTGCGATGATAACCACGACTAGGGATGACATTTCAATCCGTCCCGTAGATATCCACCCGAATCCACCTTGCATGAGTCAGGTGATAGTGAGTGATGGGTCGAGGGTAAGTCTTAAAAAAGTAAACCCGCGGTGGATCGGATTTAATTCAGATTTTCACAGGCGTTGCTCAAAGAAACCTTTGTTTCCAATAAAGCAGAAATCTTTTTTTGAGCTGTTTAAGCTCCACCCTGATATCTCTAGCTCTTTTCCAATTGCTATAAGCTAATTATTGCCTGTTCTTGTTCTGCTTCACCGCTTGTTACCAATCCCACTACCAAAACACTGATCAAGCTAAAATCCCATTTTAGGTCAGTTTCAAGAACCCTCATTCTTGTCAAATTTCTTCTTCTCCTCCCCAAATTCCCCCAAATAGAAACATCAAAAGGAACATAAATCAAGAATGTGCAATACCACCCA